AAACAACAGGAGTAAGAAATTTATCTGTGAACTTCAATACATAATAATAACAATGAGAATGTCTGCTGCTAAACCATGAAAAATTAGATTGAAACCAACCGGTGAACTTCTTTCCACCACACCAGTGAACTTCCTTCCACCACACTCTTGTAAATGCGCAAAAAGACCAAGTTAAGAGAGGTAACCAGGAGTATTTATGTGAGTATTGAGCTTTCCATTTCTAGAAGTTCAGTTTGAGTTTCTTCCTGATTTCTGTACCTTTATTGAAGTCTACTTGCACATGTTTCTCGGACTCCCTCATTTATTTCATCTGTTAATTTCTCTTTGAATTCATTCAGGTGTTTATACATGTCATATTTTATGTCACTGATCATTCTCATGTTTATTATTTTGAATTATTTGTCTGGAATTTAATGCACATCATCTTCATTTGAGGAGTTGATCTCTTTTGTGGGAGTTACATTGCCTTCTTTTTTCATATATCTTACCTTTCTCTGCTGGGGTTTGTACATCTGAGATCAAAGTTTTGACTGGGAGTTTTAACCACCAATAGTATTTCAGTTCAAATATTTAAAATGATCTGGCAGGAATTTGTAATGGAGGGTTGATGTGAAGTTCCTTGCCACTGGCCTGCTTCTACACCTAAGTAGCAAATATTCACTCACTTGCTCAGTGTCCTGTGTTGTATGCCCAGCATCATTGAGATGCAGGAAATTTAGCTGGAGTCTCATATTGTTTGTAGTGCCCAGGATGGTGTTGCCCTGTTGGTTTGGCCAGGAAAGGTCAGTTGTCCATTTCTCTGCTACTGACACTTTAGAAGCTTCTTTTCTTTGTGAACAGGGACCAACCCTGGGTGCAAGGAGGTTTGCAGCCTGTGGGTTGGGCAGGATCTCACTGATCTACAGATCTTATTCTTTTCAAGCCTAGAAGTGTTCCCAGAACAGTTTGAGTAGTTGGGGGGAAAAACAGCCCTGAGTTCCACACTTGTGGTGGAGAATTGAGGGACTTCAGTGTTCTGCCTACTGGTATAATAGCTTTCAGATGCCATGCAGCAGTCCCTTGCATTTGGGTGGGTGGAACCATGGAATCATGTGGTTCACAGAAATTGCAATTAGAGCTTTCGTCGGCCTGGCTGTAAACACCTGTAGTTGCAGGCAGATCCTAGAGCCCAATCAGGGCCTTCAGACTTCTATCAGCAATAACCCAACCATTGTGAGGGAGGTGGCTAAGGGAAATTTTGTAATTCTAAGGAACTGTGCTCAGAGCTCTCAGTGCAACTGACAGCAAATACCTACTGTTGTCAGGCAGCTCCTGGAGGCCAAGCTTTCTGAAGGCCACAGTCAGTTGGTCTGCTGCACAGTGATTCTTAGTGGATGGGACTTACTACTTTCTAAGACTGGTGTGGCCTCCAATGACTATATCCTTTACTGTTGGAACTCCTTGCTGTTTACACATCTCAATTGGCCTGTGTCAGAACTCCTCACTCTCCATTAGCACCTCTCATGGCTATCTCCCATATAGACATTGAAGCAAACCGTCCCAAGATTCCCTGAGCAGAGATACTTTTTACTAGTTCTCAAGTTGCCAGTGTAGGTCAGTGTTGAACAGTTGGATCCCTGGCTGATGATAGATTTCCATGAATAGCCTGTTATCCCACTAAATTCCCACACTTGACTTAAGATTGGCAGAAATGAGGGCTTGTCCCACATCTAAATCTGATACTCTGTCACCAAAGTCACCTAGACAACCTTGTGAAGTGCTTGATTCCTCCATCCTTATGAGGTGAGCTGCACCTGTACCTGCAGTCAGTTTCCAAATTTCATTGTGGCATTTCCATTTTCCCAGTTTTACAGCAGTCCTGTCTCGCTTTAATGGTTTCTGATGAACTTCCTCTTTCTCTCTTCTTCCTTATCCTGCCTCTTCTCACTCACAGTCAAACGGAGAAAGCTTTACCACTGCTATCTTGCACTGCATCTAGTAGAGCTCTTTTCAAAAACTGTGTAGAAGTTTACATTAAAATTAATAATAAATTTATCACATGATTTAGCAATCCCATTGTAGGCAAAAACACACAAAAAATTTTGTAGTCTGTGTGTGAAAGACCTGAAATCACTGGCTTATTGAAGTATAATTTGCAATCCACCAGGTGTTAGCAGATGGATAGATAGAAAAAGTGTGTGATTTGTAAACAATGAAATATTACCTAGTAAAAAAATTGCATTCTGTCATTTTGGTAATGATTGTGTAAGTGAAAGATAAAATCATAGCTGAAATAAGGAAGTTAAAAAAGAGAAATACCACACGATCCTAATCTTGTACAGAAGACAAAAATGGATTCCATGGAAGTATTAAGAGGAACTGAGGTTACTAGAGCTGAGAAATGGTTTCCAAATACCATGTGGAGGAAATAATTGTAGTGTTTACAGTGGGCTCACTATAATTATAATGGGTTTCATACTTCAAAATCATAGGGAAAGAACTCTCTGCAGGCTTCCAACAAAAACAAATGATAAATGTTTGAAGATGTGGACATGACATTTCTAATTTATCATTACACATTGTGGGCATCCATCAAATACTGCACACAATCTGTTATTATTATGCATCAATTAAAAAACGTAAATGATGAGATAGGGACATGGCTCACTGACAAGCACATGAACCAAAATGGATGGCACGTGGCATAGTGTTTGCCTAGTAAGAGTGAGACTTTCTGAAAAAAACCCCTACTACTACAAAAATCTTTAAAAATACTATGAATTATTTAATGAATTTACTTAATTGCAGATTTGTGTAAGTATAGAGAGATTCTAATCACAATTATTTAAAAATATAACAGAGTACTATTTATTCAGACAATGTAAAATACATTCAGTATTCAAATTGAAAAATCTTTTTTAAGAAAATGGAAGTTTATTATAATCACAAAAACATCCTTAAGTATTAAAATAAAATTAATTTCAAATGAATTATGTCACAATTATGGCAAGTGACTCAGTCATCCATTGATCATCATGAATGAGAGTAACAAGTCTGGGGGCACAAATTCTGAAAAGATTTTCCATGAAGCAAAGGAAATAAATAGTCATGAAAGAAAACCTTCATTGTTATGTGCATTATCACTATTTACTAAAATGATGCATTGCAGGATCTATAATTATTAATAAGTATTTGAAATCCAGGCAGATACAACAAATGACAAAAGGTTGGTATTTATAGTAAATAGGAAGACAAAGAGAAAATAAATGTGAAAGAAAGATGATACTACTTGTAATGATGACATCACATTTCAGCAAAGAAGGCAGGCATGGTGGCATGCTCCAGAGTTGTAACCTCCATTGGAGGGGTCAGTAGGAGGATCACAGTGCAAGACCCACAAATAGCAAATGTTCAGACTCTATCTGAATAAAATATATCTAAAGAAAATAAGGTCTGGATGTGTGGCTGAAGGAGCAGAGCAAATTCAAAGGAAGCCAATGGCTCTAAATTCAAGCCATGCTATCACCAAAACATAAAACAGAAAGAAGAAAGGACAGATTAATGATTTTCTGAGACAGGACAGATATCCGGAATCACTGTGCACAGTGGCATCTGGTAGGAGGTGGCTGGGTACGAACCAGCACTTCAAGAAGAAAATTTTCGTGTGTCAGTCTGCACCTGCCATTGGGACTGATGCTATGATTGCTGTAAGCTGAGTGCCCCCTGCTCATCTTAGGGAGTCCTGTAGGGAGGTTTATGTCAGAGATCACACTGAGGTCCCATCACTGTGTTTCTGGCACAGTAATACACAGCTGTGTCCTCTGTGGTCACAGAGCTCAGCTGCAGGGAGTACTGGCTCTTGGATGTGTCTCTGGAGATGGAGATGCGGCTCTTGAGGGATGAGCTGTAGGAAGTGTTACCATCATAACATATCTCTCCCATCCACTCCAGGCCCTTCCCTTTGGGCTGCCGGATCCATGCCCAACAGTAACCACTGGTTGTGATGGAGAATCCAGAGACAGCACAAGTGAGGGACAGTGTCTGTGAGGGCTTAACCAGGCCAGGTCCTGACTCCTGCAGCTGTACCTGGGACAGGACACCTGGGGACAAAAGGAATCATCAGTCAATCACCTGTAATCTCTACTTCCCTGTAGCCCCATGTGTGAATTGGGGACACTCACCTTGGGGAGCTGTCATCAGGCACAGGAGAACACACAACAGTCTCATCTTCTAGACCACAGCCCTGCTTTCCCCAGAGACCTCAGTCCTGTGTGACAAGAGTGCTGTGAGCTTACACAGCCTAAGATGGTGATTTAATATAGAGACTGAATAATAATTTGCATATGGGGACTCCTCTTCTTATACATCGAGTAAGACTGATGTCAAGGCACCTCTGGTCCTGCTGTGCCCTGTGGAGTGTCTCTGTCCAAAAGTCAAGTTGTATTTAAATTGGTGATAGTAAGCTACCTGGTTTTAGAGTGATGCTGGAAGCTGGTACATGATGGTCTCAGTTTTCTAGAACAAGCTACTGTCCTCAAAGCCCCTTCTCCCTTCTTGTCCCCAGCCCAGTTCCCCTGTCCACTCAGGCTCTGACTTTTCTTCCCCTATCTGATTCCAGCACCACAATTTATTTGACTCTAGGTTCCTTCTATAGTGATTTGGTCACAGGTGCCTTGAGAGGTTACTGGATCATCACACTGTATCTCTTATAGGAGGTAAAAGACTCAAAGTTCTCTCAGAAGTCCTGTGACCTAAGGCACACATCTGCCAAGTCCTTAGAGACAGTTAAAATGCTGTGTTTGACTCAGGCATGGTGACAGCCTCTTACAACCCCAGGTACTCAGGAGGCAGAGTCAGGAAAATCACATTTTTATCCTTGCATGGGCAAAAGAAGCAACACAAGATTCTCACGTAGGAGATTATTTGTAGCACCAGGCCTCGGTTCAGTCCTGAACCCTGCAACAATGCTGCCTGTGCTGTGCTTTATTCATGTAAATGACTGAGAGAATTTGGGGAGGATACGTAAGCAATGTGTCGATGACCCACCCACCAGATGGGACTAGACCTCCCCACTTTATCTTCCTCTTGTTGTCCGTAGGTATTCCTGGATTTAAACTACTCAATGAATTACAGATCCCAACATGGTAAAACCACTCATAATTGATACCATCCATGCTGTACTAACATCCATATCCGTGAACTCTGACACCTACCAGGTCATAGGATCCTAGTCCCATTGTGCTCCTTAAAAATCAAGTTTAGAAACTTGCCTCCAGGCCCTAATAGCCTAAGTCCTCACTTGTTTTGCTGGATCAAGTCCACATTCTGTGTTTTAGCATCAGGAGAATTGTGGGGTCAGGATGCTGACAATGTCTCTCCCGTGAAGACAGAATGTCAGGCATCCATGCGGCAATGCTTTACCAACAAGATTGAGAGACCATGACAACAAACAGATTTCAGAACAAGACATTCACTGTTTAGATTCTAATGATGAGATCCAATTCTCAGGATCTTGGCTATGTTGCGTCATTTGCTTGGGTGACTAGGAGTGTCCCTTTTAGAACAACACAGGTGTGACCACCAATGTCACAGTGAAGTCTCTGCTCAGAACACAAAGTTCGTAAAACATGAGGAGTGCTGGGGTATTGTCCAGGTACTGACCTCTCAGGAGTAGGTTGTGACTTGCAGGAAGTACCACCATGCCTGGTTGGGAACTGCACTCAGGTTCTGTGGACCAACCACCCTGTTCTGGAGAGTTAGCATGAATAGGGAACATGCCTTTCTCTTATCTATGACTCCCATGAAACTGGGATTACAGGAATGTGACAGATGCCTGGCTTCTTGTTCAGATGGGATGGGGTCTCACTCCTTTTGCCCATGCTGAACGTGAACTGTGATCCATCACAGTTCATCCTCCCAAACAGCTGGAAAATAAACTATTTAAAAAGTGATACTTGGACTCAAAAGTAAAATCACAGGGTGCACTTGCCATATTCTCCACAGACATTTCCAGAAAAATGTGGTAAAACTATCCTTTTTGTAAGGTGACAATGTACATTGACCAAGAATGTGGATGTGGGGGAGACCTTGGTGAGTAGTTCTTGTTATCAGATATACATGCATGAGATCTTTTTATTCATACCCCATGATGTTATTTATTTACTTATTTATATTCAGTAATTTTATTCATTTATTTAATTATTCTTGGGCCTGGAAAAAGTGTACATTTTGATTCCATCAAATTTCCCAAAGTTTGAAATATGGTGAACATTGACTTTCAATTCATAATATCCGGGGCAGTTTTTTGCTCCTATCTATGGTGAGTTTATTGTTCTATGGAATGGAGATCACTCTGCTTCTAAACTATTAGAGTTCTCATTAAGATAATCCACTTTGCAATTATTCCATTGCCTGGACCATGAAAACTGTAGAGTCATTTTCAAGACATTTCACTCTAAAAGTGGAGGGAATTTCTGTATTTCAAATAAACACACTTTTACACTCTGAATGTCAGGGAGCAGTTTGTCACGTGCAGGGATAAAATTCATTGACTGTAACCAGCCTTAATGACTTCCTGGAGGGACCTGGTCTAGTGGTTCCTGAGGATGCCCTGTTGGTCCCTGGAGGTCCTCTCCTGCTGGTCCTGATGCCTTTCACTGGTCCTGGGCGCCCCCTGGTGGTTATGAGAACACCCTGCTTCTCCTGTGTGTTTCTGTGAGTCCTAGGCAATCCCTGTGGACTTGAGCACCCGCTGCTGGTTCCATGCACATTCACAGGGAGCTTTGTGTTGGTTCATACTGCATGCAAATCACTGTCTTCAGGTATCACATTGCTCAGCTGTAAGAACACTGGTTCTTTTCTGTGCCCCTGGATATGATGACCATGGAGTTGAATTTGGAGCTGTAGATAGTGATCTCCAAGCCCAGATGACGCAAATCCACTCATGGATCTTTCCTGGTTGATGTTATACCCAGGAAAGAATTTTCAGCTATGGAAAGTGCATAATACCACAGGTGAGGCTGAGCATCTGGGAGGGACTTAGGGTTCTTTTTCCAATTACTCGAGGTGATCCTTAGCCTTGGCACCTGGAGAAAGGAAACAAACTTAAGTTACACAGACACATCCCCTCATCCCCATCATCCCATGTTTTTAAACCATGAGTCATTCACCACTGAGAACAGAGACCAGAGAGAACAAGGGAAGGATCAGCCATGTATTTATGGATGTCTGCTGTCCAAAAAATAACATTTCACACACATATTCTACTTTTCATGAATCTGGGGCCTATTTGCATTGGTGTTGTTGACAGGAGCATGAGATGAACAGGTCATACTTGGGAGATCAGAGCCTCTATGGCTGTCCTGTGGGAGGAGTCAGAGAATGGGTCTATCCTGTAGAATGTGGAGGGAAGCCCCACAATGTAGGAAGAAGAGTGGCCTGTGTGGTATCGTAGGAGTAACATTTAGTACTCTTACTAAGTTTTCTTGGGAAATAAAAATTTGAATCCATAGCAATCATCTGATTTTCTGCAGGATAATGAAATACAGTAGAAACCTAAAAAGGTTCTCTTCCCATAAACAACCAAATAGACAAAATTTTAATTTAATACAAATTTGTAATGGTTTCAACTTATGAATAAAAAATAACTGTTTCCATTTTGGTCATTAAATGCATTCAGAAAATGTGAAGTGTTCATAGAGTTACCGTTAAATGTTTAATTATTGTATAATTAATCTGCCTGTGTTTAAATCTTGACAGCCTACCATCTCCTTGAAGCAGACTAATAGAGAATCTTGAAGCTGGGATTCTTATTTCTTTCTTTGAACTTTTCTTTTGTAGAACTTCAGTTTTATTTTGTATTTGAATTTGCATTCATTGATAGTACAAGTGGATTTCATTGAGATAATTCCTTACATGGGGGAGTATATTTTGAGCATCTTAACCCCCTCTATGAAATTCTTTTTCACATCTGGCAATACCTTCCTAATTTCATCTAGCTGTTTATCAGTATTCTCTTTTAATTTGTTCATTTGTTTTTCATGCCTTCCTGATTTCATTGATCATTCTTCTAAATATTCTTTCCCCAGGATTTCATCCACTCCTCATCATTGGAGCCTGTTGCTTGTGATTGTTGATATTTTCAGGAGCCGTCTTTCCATTTTTCCCATAATTCTTGCATTCCCTGTCTTGGAATTTGAACATAGGGTGGCAAGATTTGTGACAGGACTGTATAGTTTCTCATCCCAGTATAATGGGCACAGCTCAGTAGTCAATTGTTTGCCCAACATGCTCAAGTCACAGGTCCCAGTCCCTACAAACACTCATAGAGGAGAAAACTTGCTGCAAAATCAACCACAGTTGACTGACACAGCACTGTGAACATGTAGTACTCTAAAACACTCACCACCACAACTCCACCAACGTTAAAGGAATTAATGAGCAAAGATAGTGTGGAATGAGAGAAGGTGATAGCAGTTAATCAGGGTAGAGACAGAATGGAAATAGTAGTAATAACAGTGAAGAATGAAAGATAAAATAATAAAATGGAAGGAGAACTGGAGAAGTAATGGAAAGGAGATCAAGGAAAAGAAGGGGAGGAAGAAGATCCAGTTGATAGTAAAGTTAGCAGGAGAAAGTAATAATTATCATAACAAGATCCAGAAAGCAGAGAAAATACAACCAAAAACTATGACAATAAAGAAGTAATGTGGAAGAGAAGACTAGAGGGAAAAAAAACAGGAGAGACAACCTGATCTAATTGGATAAATAAAGAGAATAAAATGGATGGAAGGAAAAAGGAGACAGGGAAGAAGAGACAATCGAAAATTCAATATGGAATCCTGGGTGTGGTGGCTCCCATCTGCAGTCTCAGCACTGGGGTTTTGAGGAAGACAGACCACAACCCCAGGCCTGTTCCTACAGGGAGAGACCGTATCAAAAACAGATCAAAACAATATGCAAGAGAAGAGCAAGACATGTCAAAGAAATGAGATATTAAATGGAAAAATATTGTCAGGAAAGTTAAAAGCAAAGAAGAAAGTTTAAAGAAAATGTGTAAAAATAGAATAAAATTCTATTAACTGAATGGATGTGTCCACTTTAAAATGACTCCATAGAAAGCTCTATAGAAAATTGAACAACTGAATAAGAAGAAGCATGGAAATAGAAAAGTAATTATTTCTTTCAAATAAGGAAATTCAATAAGACCTTCCATTCGTCTAAGGGTGCCAATTCTGAGAGCAGGTTCCTGGTGATAAAGCAACAAGGACCTTCAGGGTAGC